CCTCCCTGCCTGCGCGCATGAGCTAAATGCCCGGCGCCGCCGGCCCCGCCCCCCGCCGGCCCGCATTGGCTGCGCGGAGGGGGGCGTGGCCGCGCCGGCCTCACCGCTCCCCACCCCGTGCCTCTGACTTGTCTGCCCAGGACCCGCCCTCTCCCCGCCGGCCGCTGCCAGTTACTCAGAGCCCAAAGCTGGCGCCCGCGGCGGTTGGCCCCGCCTCTCCCCCCTGCAGACAGCGTCTGCCTGAGCCGTCTTGGTGTTCGAAAGCTTGCGAAGAATTGTTCCAGCTATTTGAGTTGGCTTAATAAAAGACACCGAATTTACCCGAAGAATCTTGTCTGCTTGTGTCCTTAGGCCGATACGGATACAACCTACACCCCTGAAAGGGGCTCGGGGTTGGGCACCCTGGGGTGCGCTCTGCCCTCCTCACACACTTCAAAGCAGAACGCGGGCTTGAGCCAGGGGCTGTCTTGCCCAGCTCCCGTGTCTGGCAGGGCAGGACCCTGGTGACCACGGGGTTAGCTCTCATCAAGGAGCAGTTTCACTTAGCATCCACTGACTCCGGGGACTCATTTGAGGGCCAGTAGACGCTGTCCAGTGTGCTTTGCTCCGTTCTGGATCCCCCTTGGCACTCATGAGCCTTTGACCTCCACTCCTGTCCCTGTTTTTTATTGTTTGTCCCAAGGAGTCTGCTGTCATCTTTTCCTGTAGCCTCCCTGCCTGAGGGAGGCTGGTAAGAAATTTGGTGGGCTAGGCTCACGTGATTGAAGGATGACAAATAGGCCTGGTGTGTCTGACAGGGCAGGACCCCTGGTGGTCCTCCTGTCCCTCCTCTGCTCGCATCCATGGGCAGAGTTTCACTAGGCAGCATCCACTGGCTCCTTGGACCTATTTAAGGGCCAGTGGGCTCTGTCTGGTGTGCTCTGCTCCCTGTCTCCCCTTGGCACCCTGGTTATGAACTTTTGACCTCCACTCCTGTCCCTGTTTTCATTATTATTTGTCCCAAGTAGTCAGTAACACGTCACTTGTGGCCCCCAGTAGTAAAGGGAGCTTCTTGTTTCCTTGGCGGGAAGGGCCTGGGCCCATGAAATCCCTCCACGTGTTAAAGTCCTATGTCCCACAGGGCAGGACCCCCTGTGACCACCGGGTGGTTCTCCTTGCCATTCTCTGCTCACAGCTCTGGGCAGTTTCACTAGGTGCCGTACACTGGGTCCTTGGACTTGCTTGCAGGGCCATGGGTGCTGGCTGGGGTGCTTTGCTCCATGTCACCTTCCAGATCCCTTATTTTGGACCTGCGGCCTCGCTCCCTTCCCTATTTTCTTTTTTTACTTCGTTTCAAAAAATTAATTGTTGCTTTCTCAGTAGCCCGCTTTTTAAGGGAGGCTTGTAGTTTTTCTTGGTGGGCATTGGCCCACAGTCCCTTGAAAGTAGCAAATAGGCCTGTGTCACACAGTCCATATGTACCCTTTAATGACATGGGGAGGGAGGCTAACCATTGCTTTTTATGCATTAAGCCCATGTTAACCTTATGTATCAAATAAGCCTATCTCTGAGAGTATAGGACCCACAGTGACTGTGGGGCCTCCTTTCCCACTTCCACTCATGTCTCCAGGTAGAGTTTCACTGGGTGGCGTCTACTAGCTCCCTGGACTCCTTCAGGGGCCGCTGGGTGCTGGCCAGGGTGCTGTGCTCCTTGTCCCCTCTCAGCACACTCATTTTGAACCTGTGACCTCCCTC